GCTGCAGCTCCGAAACACCCTGCTGCTGCTGCTGCTGCTGCTGCTGCTGCTGCTGCTGCTGCTGCTGGCTGCTGCGGTTTGGGGGCCGTCGGCTGGGGGCCCCCCGCTGTGCCCCTTCAGCTGCAGTACCCTCAGGGCCTCCCTGCCAACTCTAAGGTCTGCTGCTGTTGCATCTCCGAGGGGCCCCAGAAAGGGGGGCCCCCCTGCATGCAGTCCTTGCAGGGGCCCCCTGAGGGTGTCGGGCCCTGGCGAGGGCCCCCCGAGGGCCCCTTGGGCCCTGGGGGGCCCCCTCGAGGGCGCCGGGGCCCCCGGGGGCCCCGGGGGCCCCAGGGGGCCCCTGGAAGCCGCGAAAAAGGCACTAAAAGAAAGACAAAAAAGACCAACAAGAAGGGCGTGGTGCTCGTAAGCATTCATGTTGAGTTTGCTGCTGGCCACTGAGAGAGAAAGGGCAGAGGCCCCCGAACAAGAAAGGCCCAGAGCTGTGGGGCGCAGCAAACTGTCTATGGCGCTGAGGGCCCCCAGCGAGCCCACGCGGGGGCCCCTGCGCAGCGCCCGCCGCCCCCCGCTGCTGCTGCTGCTGCTGCTGCTGCTGCTGCTGCTGCAGGGGGGCGGCGCCCGGGAGGGGGGCCCCCAGGGGCCCCGACGGACTGCAGCAGAGACGCAGGGGGGCCCCCAGTCTGGCTCGGTCTCTGCCGCAGCAGCCCCTGACTCCTCCCCAGCCTCCACGCTCGAAGACTCCTGCTGCTGCTGCTGCTGCTGCTGCTGCTGCTGCTGCTGCTGCTGGGGTGCCTCTGCTGCGGCGCTGCGGGGGGATGGGGGGATGCTCTCGCTGCGCCTCGCCGCCTCGTCTGAAGCCTGGGGGGCCCCCTCGGGGGGCCCCTGGGGGGCCCCCTCGGGGGGCCCCTCTGCTGCAGCGGAGTGCTGCTGCTGAGGTTTGTCTGCTGCTGCTGCTGCTGGCCTCGACGCTGCTGCTGCCTCCTCGGTTGCTGCTGCTGCAGGTGCTCGCGCTGCTGCTGCTGCTGCTGTCAAAGTCCCGAACTTCTCCTGGGCAATTTCGAGGTGCCGCTGCTGCTGCTGCAGCAGCAGCAGCAAATGCCTCTGTACACAAATGCCCGAAAGCGCAGCAGCAAAAGGAGTGCTTCGCAGAGCCTCAGCTCTTGCTGCTTCCTCCCTTGCTGCTGCTTGTAGCGCCTTGAGGTACGGCCCGTCTGCTGCTGCTGCTGCTGCTGCTGCTTCTGCTGCTGCTCCTTCTGCTGCTGCTCCTTCTGCTGCTGCTGCTTCTGCTTCTGCTGCTGCTGCTTCTGCTGCTGCTGCTTCTGAGGACGCTGGAGCCGAAGGGGCCTGAAGCAAATAAGTCACAGCAGCAGTGGCAGCAGCAAATGAGATCAGCTGCAGCAGCCGGCAGAACGCAAACAATAAAAACTTTAAACTTTCAGAATGCCCTGCTGCTGCAGCAGCCGCCGCTGCTGCTGCAGTCGCTGCTGCTGCTGCAGCAGCTCGCCTGCTGCAGCAGCAGCTGCTGCTGCAGCAACTCCAATCCTACACGGCTCTACCGAAGCAGCAGCAGCAGTGCCGCACAAGCAAAGCAAACTGGAGCAGCACGAACAAACAACAAATTTATTTATTCATTTTATTTATTTATTTATTTATTTATTTATTTATTTATTTATTTATTTATTTATTTATTTATTCTTTAAACGAACTTCCACTTCCAAAGAGAAAGAAAGATGCCTCAGTCGCCGCCTCCAGTTTTCCCTCAAAGCTTCTGCAGTGTCTGTACACCCCAACTGCGAGGAGGGGGCCCCCCGGGGGGGCCCCTGGGGGGCCCCCCGGGGGGCCCCCCCAGATACTTCTCCGGGGGGCCCCTCGCAATCTGAGGCCCCTGCAGACTCTGCTGAGGGGGCCCCTTGGGGGCCCCCCTGGGGGCCCCCAAGGGGGGGCCCTTGGGGGGCCCCTTCGTGCTCTGCTGAGGAGGCCCCTTCGGGGGCCCCTCCAGGCTCTGCTGAGGGGGCCCCCTGGGGGGCTCCTCCAGGCTCTGCTGCGGGGGCCCCCTGGGGGGCCCCTCCAGGCTCTGCTGCGGGGGCCCCCTGTGGGGGCCCTGGATGCCCTTTTAAGGGGGCCCCCGTGGGGGCCCCGGGAGAAGCTGCTGAGGGGCCCTCAGCAGATTCTCCTGGGAGGGCCCCTTCTCCATGGGCCTCTCTGGGGGCCCCTGTGGGGGCCCCTGTGGGGGCCCCTGTGGGGGCCCCTGTGGGGGCCCCTGTGGGGGCCCCTGTGGAGGCCCCCGTGGGGCCCCCCGGGAGGGGCCCCCCGTGGTTCCAGAAAGAACGGACTAGGGACAAGTTGGGCCCCTTGTAGGGCCCCCCCTTGAAGTTTAGCAGCAAATTGAAACGGGAGGGGGGCCCCCAGTGGGGCCCCCAGAGGGAGAGGGGAGTGGGGGCCCCCGCCTGCAGTGGGGGAGATCTTTGGGGGCCCCCCAGCAGCTCCACAGGCAGGCCAAAGGAATGCAAAGAGACATCCAACTTGCTGCTGCTGCTGCTGCTGCTGCTGCTGCTGCCGCTGCTGCTGCTGCTGCTGCTGCGGCGTACGTACACCTCGGCTGCTGCAATTTGTGCTGCAGCGCCAGACGGCGAGAACAGCCATGTCTCAGAAGGAGGCACCCACCTGCAGCAGCAGCAGCAGCAGCAGCAGCAGCAATATCAGCAGCAGCAGCAGCGGCAGCAGCAGCAGCAAGACCAAGAGTAGCAGCTAGGAGCGGCACGCGACGCGTGTGCCGTCGCTCGCACTGCCACCGGGCTGTGCAACGCCTAGGACTTAGGGTTTAGGGTTTAGGGTTTAGGGTTTAGGGTTTAGGGTTTAGGGTTTAGGGTTTACTTGGGGGCCTTTCCCTGCTCCCAACAGAGGGCACAGCGCTTTAGGGTTTGAGGCTGAGGGTTTGGAGAAGACATTGGGGGCCCCACAGGGGCCCCCTTGGCCGAGAGGGCCCACCTGAAGCAACAACAAACCCTAAACCCTAAACCCTAAACCCTAAACCCTAAACCCTAAACCCTAAACCCTACACCCTAGACCCCGCACCGCGGGCTGCAGCTGAAGACGCGCTCCCTTTTCCAGGGTTTAGGGTTTAGGGTTTAGGGTTTAGGGTTTAGGGTTTAGGGTTTAGGCTAATTTGTGCCTCCTTCTGTCTCTCTTTCCATTTGTTTCACTTTCTGCTGCTGCCCCCTCCCCTTGCATTTAAATAATCCATTAAAACAAATTAAACTTCAAATTAATTAATTAATTAATTAATTAATTAATTAATTAATTAATTAATTAATTAATTAATTAATTAATTAATTAATTATAAAAAGAAATCCACCTGAGCTCGCAGCTCATTCTCAAACCCTTCTTTGCTGCTCGGAATTTGCTGCGGGGACTTCTCTCAACAAAAATGGCCGTAGACCCTAAGCAGCAGCGCAGCAGCACCCCACACTGCTGCTGCTGCTGCTGCTGCTGCTGCTGCTGCGTTTGCTGCAGCTGCAGCGCCCGCGGCAGTTGCTTCTGCAGCAGCAGCAGCTGCGGCAGCAGAGGCTGCCGCAGCAACGACAGCGCCAGCAGCCTTTACAGCCACAGCAGCAGCAGCAGCAGCAGTAACAGCCACGGCAGCAGCAGCAGCAACAGCAGCCTTTACAGCCACAGCAGCAGCAGCAGCAGAAGTCATAGCAGCCACAGCAGCAGCAGCAACAGCAGCATTTACAGCTGCATCAGCAGCAGCAGCAACCGCAACAGCCACAGCGGCAGCCAAAACAGCCAGAGCATCAGCAGCCATAACAGCCACAGCAGCAGCAGCCACAACAGCAGCAGCAGCAGCCACAGCAGCAGCAGCCACAGCAGCAGCAGCAGCCACAGCAGCAGCAGCAGCAGCAGCAGCGCACCGCTTGTTGCGTTGAGGGCCCCCCAGAGGCCCTGGGGGGCCCCGGGCCCTTTTGCTGCTGCGGGAAAGAAAAAGCAAATTGAGTCCAGGGGCCCCGAAGCAGCAAGACACACCCAAGTCGTTATGACCGTCATCTGCTGCAGCAGCAGCAGCAGCAGCAGCAGCAGCAGCAGCATGAGCAACAGCCTTGGCAGCAGCAGCGTTAGCTGCAGAAGTATTGGCAGCAGCAGCAGCAGCATGAGCAGCAGCACTAGCAGCAGCAGCATTAGCCGCACCAGTATTGGCAGCAGCAGTAGCAGCAGTATTAGCAGCAGCAGCGGCAGCAGCAGCAGTGGCAGCAGCAGCAGTCGCAGCAGCAGCAGCAGCAGCAGCAGCAGCTGAAGGCCTCGCTAGCTGCTGCTGCGGCTGAGGGGCCCCTTTGCTGCTGTGGGGCCCCACACTTTCTGCAGCAGCTTTTGTGTCCCTCAGGTGTCTCCTCACCTCCCCCCAGCAGCAGCAAAACTTTTGCTGCAGCAAATCCTCGCTTTGCTGCGCCTCCCCGGAGTCCTGCAGCACGCGCAGCTAGCTGCTGACTGCTGCTGCTGCTGCGCCCCACACAAACCCTAAACCCTAAACCCTAAACCCTAAACCCTAAACCCTAGCTATTTTCCCCACCTTCTCCACTCGCAGTTTGCTCCACTGGGGCAAGTAAGTAACAATGAATTCAGGGAATATCTTCTCGAGCTCCTAAACGGCACACACACACATGTGCTGCTGCTGCTGCTGCTGCTGCTGCTGCAGCTGTTGCTGCTGCAGCAGCAGGTGCTGCTGCTGCTGCTGCCGGGTCCTTGCAGCAGCACACCACAAGCAGGCCCTAAGAAGGGCCCCTATAGGAGTCTAATTGGTCATAAAAGGCCCCCATTGGGCCCTCAAGGGGGGCCCCCTGAGCAGTGTTAATATGTTGTCCAAGAGGCGGCCCCCACAGCCGCAAGGGGGGCCCCAAGAGGCCCCCCAGAAGCCCCTAGGGGCCCCCGGAGGGCCCCGGGGGCCCCTGGGGGCCCCTGGGGGCCCCCAGGGGCCCCTAAAGACCCCCAAAGGCGCCCTTTGTAGGTCC